TTACTCTCAAGCTTAAATGGTTACAAAAAGGAACTTTTAATAAGAACAATGAATATGAATGGATGTTCAAGGTATATTGTTGTTGTTGTTATTGTTATTATTATCATTATTATGTTTTTCCTTTGAAAAAAAGATGATTAATTAATTAATTGATATTTTAGCCTGAGCTGGAAACTAGTAGAAGAAAATTCTTTCTATAATATTTATTCAATATATAATATAAATTTAATTGTTCAAACGATTTTCTTCTTTTTATTTCTCCTTCATCATCATCATCATCATCATCATCATCATCATTCAATCGTCATCATCTCATCTAATGATTTTAAAGCAAAAAAATGAGAAAATGAATTACTATTGTTACTTTTACAATTACCATTATCATCATTATCGAATTTAGAATTTAAAATTTGTTTTTTTCTTCTTGTTAAAAATTCTATTTTAAAGATTAAATGAAGTATGTTGTTCTGATGAACGGCAGCTTGATAAATTATTTAATAATGCCTTCAGAATCATTATTAATATAATAATATGGTATATATTAGTTAAATAGCATCTCTGACATTATTTAATTTTGGGTAAGCTTGTATAAAAGTTAAAAATGCACATATTGTATAATTTTGAAATTATATGACCAATTAATAAAGCTCCCGCCATGTTTTTCTTCAACGAAAAGATCTGCACAGAATTTAGCCATTTATATACAATTAAGGGTTTTACCAAATTTGGAACCCTTTGTTGATCAATTCAAATTCTTCTAATATATATATTTTAAGAATCCACCAGGATCCACGCAACTTTACATACTAGTTTTTTCTTACATATAGGAGAGTCATCAGCTTAAAATCCTTTTAATAAGTAATACAGTAGTAAATGTTAGACCATTATGTTTGTATGAAATATTACAAACAAATACCCAGAAAGCCAGCTGACGCCATGTTGATGCAAATCTTATTATTAAGTATATTCAGAATCACCATTACTATATTTATTCATGTAAATAAATTTGTTAATAATAATATACTTTTATCTAGTATTATTTATTTATTTAAAGGTACTTTAAGGATACCGACTGCAACTTTGATGACGGTTGTAACCACCTTTACATCATATAAAAATGATTGCAACATCTAGTTGTAACTGTCTTTTGCAACAACTTTGTTGGATTGCAATATAGAGAACTAAAGTAGTTCGGTATGGAAATGTAAACATAAAACTCCAAATAAATTATTTTGTATTATTTACAATGGTGGCTATTGATTTCAATATATCAGAACTATTATAATCATTATTTATTTTACTATATGGGTTTTGAAACTTATGTATCCTTTATTTATTATTTAACAGAATTGGCAAGGAAATTATATTTCCGATGATGTTATCAAAGATACTATTTTTATTCAAATTCTGATTTCTTTTCTAAAGTATTGGTCATCTTTACCACTTTAAAAATATAATATAACAATAATTTCAATAAAAATTTTCACTATAAAAAAAAAACAATAATAATCAAAAATTTTTTCACCTAAATTTTTCATTTTCTCAACTTCATTATAAATTGGTGAATTTTTAACAAGCATATTCTTTTGTATGTTGCTTGTATTCATTCTCGACAATAATTCATTTAAATGTTTGTAATATTCATATTTTTCTTTAACTTCCATAAATTC